ACACCGGGCGAGTTGTGCCGTGATCTGCCAATGGATCAAATTACGCAACTGTTAAACTCAGACACGATGAAGAATTTGATGGATTTGTGGAAGAAGAATGAACTGAAAAAGTGAGTGTTTTGTATTTTATGTGTTACAACTGTTTAATGTTGGGAGTTATTCTGATTGAGTTGGATAAAGTTTGACATATCTGACTGTTTTGTTTCGCTTCATGTGCCTTTTAATCCGGTGCGCCTTATGTATGAAAAAAAAAATCAAATGGACCCATTTATTGATATTGCACCTTATAATCTGATGAACCTTATAGTCTGAAAAATAGGGTATATATTTTGTTCTGAATGGTAGAGAATTTCGAAGAGGAGATGTCTTTTGTTGTTTGGAAGGAGGCTTCTCTATGGTCCAGTTCCAGTTCCATCTGGATTCAAACAGATTGTAGAAGTGACTGGCTGGTCAGGCAAGGACATGAATGGTCTGACAGATTTATGGGCAAAGACAGTTTGAACATTGTATGCTTTGAATGGTTTCTAAAGAACACAAATAAAACAGACCTTTTCATATCAGTGCTGGCCAGTGTTTACAGCAATTACAGCCTTTTATGAGTTGAGGTGGCGTCCAACATGTATCTCAAGAGTAAATGAAAATCAATAATGAGCGCTATTATTTTTCAGTCCCTGTGATAGATCCAAAACAGCTCGCTCAAGCTCATGGAGTCATTAATCTCTTCAACACAAAAGCACTCTATAGAAAAATAAAATCACAAGCAAGCAGAGGTGGGTAGAGAAGCCAGTAACGTTACTTCAGAACAACAAAGCAATGGTGGTAAAAAAAAAGAATAAAAGTATTTGGGAAAAGTACTACTCAAGTAAAATATGTGTAAAATCCTTCAGTCGTCCAGGTAGAATCCTAGCCTGATTCATCAACCGATTTCACTCTGTGGAAATGGGGTCACATTGACTCCAAGAAAAATGTTTTTGTTTTGGGTCAATAAGGCCCAAAAAATATTTTCAAATAAATTATCTCAAAAATACATGTTTGGATCTGATTGACCCGCCCCAAGAGAGCGGGAAGGAAAAAATAATTATTATTTGGGTCAATGTGACCCCGAGGAGAGCGTGAGGTTAAAGAGAATCCTCTTGAACAAACATGGGGAACTCAGTCACCATCTGTCTCCTATTTACAACTCCATCCTCAAACCCAGATCAGTACAAACAAAGAGAACAATATAACCAGGTCAGGTCCAGAGGTGTGAAAGCTCCATTAAGACCCTGGATGATTATATTAATATGCCCTCACACTCAGTGCAAGTTCAGTAGGCCAAGCTAGCAGAAACTGTAAACAGGTAGGCTGTTAGTTTCAGAGTAGATTCAGTGTAGTTAGCTCCTTCCTGTGGGCAGATATATGGAAGTGTTCACCAGCATTTTGAAAAGAACTGAAGAAGCAGCTTGGAGAGGCTAGAAAACATATTCGACCAAAATAAACTTCTGTCCAGTTGACAAATTGATTTTCTCCTTTTGCTTACTCAAGTAAAAATAACTGTCGGGATGTAACTTCAGATTTTTTATTTGAACATTAAGTAATGTACAAAAGTCTGAAATTATCAAGTAGGACTAAAAGTTTATGGCTAGAAAAGTACTCTGAAAAGTTTTTGATTTTGTGTTTAAATGAATAATGGAAAAAAAAAGGATAACGGCCGTTTCTCATTTCTGTGACTTAAACTGTGAAACCAGACTTTTGCGCTGAATACAGACTGAACCAGTACAACACCAGGACTGAACCAGGACTAAACCAGGTCTAAACCAGAACTGAACCAGGACAACACCAGGACTGAAACAGGACTAAACCAGTTCTAAACCAGAACTGAACCAGGACTAAACCGGTCTCAGTCCTAGTCTCAGTCCTGGTCTGGTTGTTCCGATCTCAGTCCTGGTCTGATACCAGTCTCAGTTCCGGTCTAGTCCCGGTCTCATTCCTAATCTTACAGTCTACACGGGCACACCTATGAGCCCATCTCGACGCTCAGTCCTGGTTCAGTCCTGGTTTAGTCCTGGTTTAGACCTGGTTTAGTCCTGTTTCATTCCTGGTTTAGACCTGGTTCAGTCCTGGTTCAGTCTGTATGTGGCACAAATGTCTGGCAGCGCAGTTTAAGTCACAGAAATGGGAAACAGCCATTATCTGTTTTGTCCATTACTCAATCAGTTTTCACTTCATGAAAACTGAAAAAACAAATCATTATCCGTTTTTTCATTTTGGTTTTGGAGACAAATAATGAAGAAAATTGTTATTTCGGTTTCTTATTTTTGGTTTTATTTTGAAAGACAAATGAACAAATGATACACGGATTTAACGTGATGATCTAAATATGTTATGTGTTCACAATGAATACCCTGCAGAAGCTCATCCACCAGAACAAAGGTTGCCAGTCTGAACTCCACCTCTGTCTCTGTCTCAGGTCTTTTGGCAACACACTCCAACTTTCTCCTTGTGCTGTGAGTTCTTGTTGGTCGTCGGAGGGGCTGATGACGCAGATATCCAGCCTCACTTCCTTGTGTCTACCAGACTGTGCAGAGCAGGAATAGCTTACCGCCATCGAATTTGGGTTGGATGAATAATGCATGAAAAAAATGCTAAGTTTCAAACCTGGTAACTGAATTTGCATGTACAACAGTGTGAACTACATCAGTAATAATTTATATATATTAGAGTGCACAGATTAACATTTACATTAACTTGCTGCAAATGTATACAGTTGTAAGTGTTACAAATATGACCCAACATCATACTAATAAGGCTAAGGTACAATTTATTGGGTTATAGGTTATGCAGAATAAAATATTAAAATATTAAAGGGGCATCGTGTAACTTTTCTAGTAGAGGGTTTGTCAAATGCTTTTCTTCATGGGGATGTTATTGCTTTGTCTGAAATGTTTTGCAGTATGGCATTAAAATTTCTAACTTCATGGAGACCAGGCAGATCTGTGGAGAGGCAACCATGCTCACAGTGAGAATGCTTGTTTTTCTAGGTGTTTTTGAGCTATAAAACTACTTGTAATTGAATAAATGTAAAGTAGAGCTGTTTAATGTCATACTGTGGAACATTGCAGGCAGAGCAATGACATATCCATAGAAACAAGTTGGGACATTATTGATATTGTGGGCTGCTGTATCGATATATCTCCAAGAGTGTTTTTTGGCATATTTTACTAAATTATTTTGTTACAGCGCAACAGTTTTGCTGCTTGTTTAGAGGAGGGAAACTTGTATATGCGACACATTTGACATTTTCACTGTTTTTATGAGTAAAATGTTTGTGTTTCATATGAACTTTGGGCAATGATGTCTTTCCGCTTGTTAAAATTCACTGAACATTCTCTTTGTTCAATCTCAGGAATCATTGACAACACAGAATATATGGCTCTTCACTGATTGGCTGGTGCCCAAACTCACTTTTTCTGTTTTTTTGTTTCAAACCATCTAATGTTTTCTGATTACTGACCTGGTCGCTGGAGAGAAATAAAATTGAGCGGAGGCACTAGGTGGCGCCAGCCTGGCTAACAAAATTCAACAAATGATCAAAAACAATTACATTCTGTAAATATTGAACCAGAGCCTTTTTAAATGAAGGGACAGAAGTTAATGCTCGAATCGATGAGGGAAATTGTTCCAATCAGAGGGAGCTTTATATTTAAATGAGTGTTTTCCTATTTGTTTTTTGACTCTTGGGACAACAAAAAATATCTGAACTGCGTTAAATAAACTGTAAGAGGATCTGAATGGAATTAAATACTGTTTGAGATAGGTGAGTTTCATTGTTGACAAAAGCGCGTGTTGCATGCTGGGAATTATTTTGGTTGGCGGCAAGAAACACTAATTCAACATGACGGACGGAGCGAGAAAGCACGTAAAGGGTATTGATCCCGGTTATTTATCCACTCTAACGGCAGAGGACCCAAGACCATTTGACCCGAAATTGGTCATAAGCATCGATGGAGCCAAATCACCCTTTTCAACCCCGACAGAACCTGGACCAAACCAAATTTCTGGTCAGAATCGCCAACTACCTGACCAAATATTCACTTCGGCGATATCCACAATGACTTGGTGGAAACTCCTGGGCCATTCACAGCAGAAAAGATGAAAACCTCCAAGAGTCTCGATGTGTTGTTGAACTTGTTGGAGTCCACGGTTTGCTAGGATCTTCTACGTTTGCTCTGCGGATGTTTGAAAACCATTTAATTCACCGTTAGCGGTTCTTTTCACTCGGAATACGAAAAAGACATTTTCCTTCTTCTGTGCTTCTATTTGTGCATCCAATAATGCAGCAGGAATTTATCATTATCGGGGATAAATACGTGAGGTTACGCACTGTGTTTGACCGCTACCGTGTTTCTTGCCTCCGACCAAAATATTTCCCAGCATGCAACGCAGGCTTTTAATAACAATGACGTCAGCTGAATCTCGCCTACAGTATATTCAGGAAAACTGAGATTAATGCATCTAAAGATAAATTATAACCAGTGAAGTTGACGTCGGGAGTGACAAAGTACAGACAAAGTAATAACATCTCCATGAAGAAAAGCATTAGACGGACCCGCCACCAGAAAAGTTGCACAATGCATCTTTAACGAGACACTATCAGTTTTACATTTTTTTCCACAGACATTTTGCCGACGGGGAGAAAGCCACTGCCCGTGTGCTGTGTCTCCTGTCACATCCTCCTAAACCAGACGCCCTGTCACATGACACGTCCAGAGCACATGTAACCAGATTAGGCGCTGTCCCCTTTGGATGTAGCACACCTATTACAATTAAATGACACGTTCCCGCTGCAAATGCCCTCGTCTCCTGTCTCTCTCACTCTCCTCCTTGCATTTTTTTTTCTTACACCCAAGCCCCGCCCCCTCCCGTCCCTCTCGGCTCTCCGGTTGGTCGGCCCGAGCGCACAGCCCGCCCCTCGGTTTATAAAAGAGCTGCAGAGGGAGGAGAGCTTCAGCTTGTTGCCTCTCTGTGCGAAGAGAAACTCGAGACTTTTTTGGTGTTGAGAAAAAACTGTTCTCATATTGGATTTATTGAAACTGTCCAGCCATGTGCAAAGGACTATCTCAGCTTCCTGCAACCTGCTTAAAAGGGTAAGTGAAACAAAATGATCTGATTAAAGCTATAACTTAAAATTTCAACATTTGAGAATCGTAAAATGATTTAACTGCATACTAAAAATCTAAGTACTAATATGAATTCAAGCTACACAGTCATGAAGTAGTATCTTATAACGAAGTAAGTTAAGTACAAATTTCAGTGTATGTGTGTAATAATGTTGTTATGAATGGACATTTATAATATAAGAGTTTAAAAAAGATCTAAAACGCTATATATCTCATCTCCTATTGAAATACATGCACTGTTAAGGTCTTTATATAAATTAATGCAGTTTCATGGGAGATTTCCTGCATGCTCATTTGATGGTTTCTGTTGAAAATATTTAAAAATATATATAAAAATTTGAATTTAAATGTTTGAAAATTTTCATCCTGTACTGAAATGCATGTACTTTTAAGGTCTTTATATGTGAATGCAGTTTAGTGGGTGATCTTCCCAATGCTCTACTGATGGTTTCTGATATAAATATTGTGTTTACTTTTTTATTGTATTTATTTATTTGAATCAAATGTTGAAAAAGTAAAATTATGTGAATAAAATTTTTAGATTTTTTTTTTTTTTTACTTAGGTCTTATTCTGAAATGCATGTACTTTTAAGGTATTTATATAAGAGAATGCAGTTTAATGGGTGATCTTCACTATGGTTTCTGTTACAAATATTGCTTTTACTTTTTTTTTTTATTTTATTCGTTTTTTGGTATTAAATGTAGAAAATGTGAAATTATTTGAACACAATTTTATTTTATTTATTTACTTAGGTCCTATGTTAAAAATCATACTGTTAATGTCTTTGTATAAGTGAATACAGTTTAATGATGGTTTCTTTCACAAATACTGGGTTTACTTTTTATTTTATTTATTTATTGAGATTAAATGTTGAAAAATTAATATTATTTGAATTAAATTTTTTGATTTTTTTGCACTTAGGTCCTATACTGAAATGCATGGACTGTTAAGGTCTTTATATAAGTGAATATTATAGAAATACTGATTTTACTTTTTAAATTTTATTTAATCTTTTTACATTAAATGTTGAAAATCCAAAATTATTTGAAGTACAATTTTAGAAAATTTTGTAATTAGGCTTTTTTTTTTTTTTTTTTTTTTTGTCGCAAGATTTTTTTTTTTTATTTATTTTTGTCGCAAGAATTTTTTTTATTTTTTTTTTTCTAGAAACCAAAGATACACTGCAAAAAATACAAAATGGATAGAGACTATGAATTTTTTCATTATTTGTATAACCTATTTTGAATGACTGATATAAATTTGTTCTTATTTTAGGCTATGTGAACTGTTGGTGGAGTAAGAAAATTGCACTTTTTATGTCAAAAAAGAAAAGAAAATACTCAAGAAATCTAGTGTAGTCTACTCAAAACTTTTACTTCCATTCGTTACTGCAAATTCAAGTTGTTTTAAAGGTGCACTGCGCAGCTTTTGTGGTGAAGGGTCCATCACCTGACCTGCTTGTCTCCATGGAGAGGTTATTGCTTTGCCTGGAATGTTCCATGGTATGACTTTAAACATTTCCACATAGCATTTATTCACTGCAGGTGTTTCTATTGCTCAAAAACACAAGCATTTCTTCTGTGAATGTGGGCGACTCTCCACAGATCTGACCTGTAATGTAGCGTAGAGCTGTAACACGCTTGTGTAATCGTGATAGATCATTCCAGACAAAGCAATAACGTTTCCATGGAGACAGGTGGCAGATCCTACACTAGAAATATTACGCACTGCATCTTTACATAGACAATCTGACTTTATGTTTATATGAAAGCTGAAAACTCACTAATTTCTGTTTCTGTATCTTCTTTTTCTTCAGAGCTAAAGACATCAAGCACAAGATCAGCCACTTACTGCAGAAGCCCGAGCCCCAGACGAGCGAGTCGAAGCAGAGCAAAGAGAAGACCACCACAGCCCCGAACAGGAGGTGGGCCACTCTACAACCGTTATGCAACAGATCACATTAGATTTCATTCATAATTCAGTTTTTTCCACACAAATTCAATTTATTACAGCTTGATTCAATGTGAAGTCCCTAACCAGTTGTGAATCGAGACTAAAAATAGCGTTGGGATAAATTTTTTTTGAAAGAGTTATCAATGCCAAAAAAAAATAATAATTAATAAAAAAAAAGAAAAAAGAAATAAACAAACCAAAAAACCACAAATTTGACAAAACTGGAGTTAAGAGATTTTCATGACTATTATATAACATGATATTATTACAGAAACATACACACAAAAAATAAAAATAAAATAAAAAATAAAATAAAAACTATATATTTTTCTGGTTTTGAAATTGGTAAAATTGCAATATCATGGATTTTTCTTGTTTAAAAAAAAAAACAAAAAAAGGCGATTAAAGGTGCATTATGTAACTTCTCAGGTGTATCTTTTGCTATTTACTTGTTACTTCTTTACTTGAAATGTTCCACAGTAGGGCATTAAATAAATCTCTTTGCATTTTTAATTTTTTTTTTTTTTTATTACATGCACAAAAATACCTTAAAAACATGAATTCTTACCATGTGCAGGCTCGCTTCTCCATAGACCTGACCATTAACCTGTCTTTATTTCCATACTGTGGAATAAACAAGGAAAATTTGATGTTTCCGTGGCAACAAGCAGGTGGCAGACCCTCCACCAGAAAAGTTACACAGTGCACCTTTAAGAAAATTCATTAAATTTAACTACTAAAATGCGTTTACTAAAAGAAAAAAGTACTTCCAACTAAAGTAACTATAAATGCATGCAAAGCTACAAATTTTTCCATTTTTATTTTATTTTTTTCCAGTTTATTTAACCTGATTGTTCGCTGTAGTCTCTGTTCAATGTTCCACTTTCATTAAGCCCGTCTCCAGCCACGTATTATTAAATTATTGTTTTATAGTCCCCATAATGTATTGTACCACTGAACGGCTCCTTCCTTTTTATCTTTTTATTTCGATTCCACATTTGTTATCATGATCACGTCTGTTCTGTCAATGATTCACCAGGAAATCACTTTTACTGGGACTATTATTGTAACCGCTTTGAAACCAGAGCAAATGCCTGTTCTGTTTTTGAGGCGTGCTTATTTTTATGAAAAACGAAATTTCTGGTAATGCAAATGCAAAAAAAATGGGGGAAAAAGTCTACTGCCTTTCCTTTGTGTATGAGGGAGTATGAATGAGGTTGTTGGTTTGATTCCTGCTCTGGTAACCAATAGCAACTGGTGCAAACAAAAATTTAGGATACAAATTTAATTCCAATTCTACTACTACTACTACTACTACTACTGCTACTACCACAACTGCCACTACTACTACCACTATACTGCAATCACTACTACTACTACTATTACCACTACCAGTACCAGTACCACTACTACTACTACTACTGCTACACTGCAACCACAACTATTACTACTACTACTACTATTATTATTACTACAGCTACTACTACTGCCACTACCACTACCACTACTGCTACTGCTACTACTACTGCCACTACCACTACTTCTACCACTATACCGCTATCACAACTACTACTACTACTGCCACTACCACTACCACTACTACTACTGCTACTGCTACTACTACTGCCACTACCACTACTTCTACCACTATACCGCTATCACAACTACTACTACTACTGCCACTACCACTACTACTACTACTACTACTACTGCTACTACTACTGCCACTACCACTACTTCTACCACTATACCGCTATCACAACTACTACTACTACTACTACTACTACTACTACTACTACTACTACTACACTGCAACCACAACTATTGCTACTACTTCTACTGCTACTACTACTACAGCTACTACTAACACTACTAACACTACTACAACAACCGCTACTACTACTACTACTACTACTACTACTACACTGCAATCAATCACAACTACAGCTACTACTATTACTACTACTACTATTATTACCACTACAGCTACTACTACTACTACTACTGCCAATACCACTACTACTAGTACCATTGCCACTACTACTACCACTATACTTCAACCACAATTACAGCTACTAGTACTACTACTACTCCTATTACTAACACTGTTACTATTACCACTACTACTACTATTACCACTATAGTGCAACCACACAGCTACTACTACTACTATTACTACTAGTACTACTACCACCACTACTATTACTATTACCACTACCGCTACTACTACTACAACTACTACACTGCAACCACAACTGCAGTTACTACTAGTAGTACTACTGCTACTACAACAGCCAATATGACTGCAACTAGTGATTATTTTAGTAGTCAACTAGTCAGAGAACATGTTTTTGATTAATCGACTAATCAAACGATTATTTCTATTGTATAAGATTAAAATGTATCTATTATATTCTAAGTGTGTTATTGTAGAAAATCTGAATTAGTTTATCCTTTCTGACATTTAGGTTTAATAATGTGGCTCTTTGTTGTCATGTTGTTGCACTCATCAATAGTAAGACTAGTATCGAAACTAAATACTCATTTGGTACATGGTAACATGAATGTATTTTAGAGTCCAGTTAACAGTTATGATTATCAAAATATAAATACTATGCGCCCTACAACTACAACAACTGCTACTACTTCAACTACTACTGCTACATTAAAGGTCCATTGTGTAACTTTTCGGGTAGAGGGTCCACCACCTGCGTGTCTCCATGGAGATTCAATGCCATTCCATTCAAATATGTTTGTTTTTATCGCTCAAAGAACATGCACTTCTACAGTCAGTGGTCCTCCTCTGCATAGATCTGACCTGTATCTTGGTATCGGGTTGGTTTCCATGGAGTGAGTGAAGTTTAATACTCTAACGTGAAACATTCCATGCAGAAGAACCACCTAGAAGCATCTGAAAAAGCTCTTTGCCAATGAAAGTGGCAGTTTCCGGTCTGTCCTCACACCTCCACGGCCTCTGACGCACTCGCCATATTAAAGCTGCATTGTGTAACTTTTCAAACAATGGCTTCAAAGTCACGCTGATGAGTACAATGTGTTTAGAATGCAGTCCAAGTTCTGCCCAGGAAATCAATCAGAACAGGGAAGGTGTCTGATGAGAATACCAGCCCTTTGTTCAGCGGCGCGGTGTCGACTGCAAAGAGTACAAGCCATCAATAAGAAATTAGGACCGTTGCCATAGCGATTGACAATGTGACACTAAATAGTATGTCTTTTTGTTTTGGAAATACTTATGAAGAGGTTCTGTACAATGTGTTTATGCTTTGGTCTTGCTTGGAGTCCAGTTTAGTCCTGATGTAGGCTTGGTTTGGTTCTGTTCTGGTTTATTTTGGAGGTGTTACTGCTTTGCCATGAATATTCCTCAGTATGGCATTTAACTTATAGCCAAGCTGGCGCCACATAGTGCCTCCGCTCGATTTCATTTCTCTCCAGCGACTAGGTCAGGAATCGGAATACACAAGACGGTTTGCATGAACCTCGGAAGTGCGAATTCGGGCACCAGCGAAGAGCCATACATTCTGTGTCGGCAATGATTCCTGAGATCGAGGATTTAAAGCCGGAACAAAGAAAATGAGTTATTGCCCTTTGGTAAATTTGGGAAAAGCTTAATATACCAGATAGCCCCGTTAGAGGAAAATTACATACGTCACGACCAAATAGAAGCAATTGGTTAAATAAAAATTTTTATCCATCTACTGTTGAGTGAATGAATCCTAATGCTGCGAGGTCAGACGGTTTCCACGAAGTGAAACTGGCTGATGAATCAGGCCAGCTTTTCCTGGAATGTTCAACAGAATGGCATTAAATTGATGTTTTTATTACTCATAATATCTTGAAAAAAATGCATCCTTGCATAAGATGTGTTTGCCTCTCCACAGATCTGACCACCCACCTCCATAGAGCTACACTGTAAATTTTCTGGTGAAGAACATTCAACCTCATTGTCTCCATGGAGATGTTACTGCTTTGCCAGGAAAACTCCACAATATGGCATTTAACTTATCTATCTACATGAAGTGATCAGGGCCAAGTTATAGATCAGATCTGCGGAGAGACATACCCACTCAAAGTTAAAATGCATGCTTTTTGATTTATTTTGTAAGGAATAAAAACAACCATCCTTCAATTTACATCTATAAGTATATAAATGTAGAACAGAAACAAGAAGGTACCATGTTCTCCACCAGAAAAGTTACATACGCCACCTTTAATACCACACTGTGCAACATTTTCATCAAAGCAATGACATCTCCATGGCAACAACCAGGTCTCAAACCCTCCACCAGAAAAGTGACACAGCTCACCTTGTAGAATGTCTTTACAGATATTTCCCTTTAGCCTATTTGCCCATTCAGTCTGGCCACATCTACGTCATTTCATTTTTTTCATTCTTTTCTGTGTATTACGCCATCATATTCTGTACGCCCCAGATTCAGTTTTAACATTTTAGTTGGATCCACGTGCGTTGAACGTGCAGCGCTGGGTGGTATTGTTTGGTTTGGACCTATTTTTCTTACACAATAAGGTCTGAGCGGAGAGAGTTTGACAGAGGCGGTGAACGGGCTGGGTTCTCTGGAGGATTGTATTGATTTTGGGCTTTATTTTGGTTGAACTTCAGGCTCCGTCCTCCATAGCTCATAAAAGAGCGGTGCGGGTGACTCAGTGAACTCGTGTCGGGCGGCGGATGAGTCAGTGCCACAGGTTAAAGCCGGGTTTTCGGATCAGTGTGTGGGAAGAGTAGGTATGGATTGTAATGATCTAATGAGCTAATACACTGGTCCCTCGTTTATGGTGGGGGTTACGTTCTAAAAATAACCCGCATTAGGCGAAATCTGCGAGGTTGCCAGCTTTATTTTTTACAATTATTATAAATGTTTTAAGGCTGTAAAACCCCTCACCACACACTTTATACACTTTTCTCAGACAGGACAGTTACAACCCTTTTTGCATCCT